TGTGCTTACTCCTTCCCTTTAGCACCATAATGGTGCTAAGAAAGACTTGACAATTGCTATCTCTATTATTATTGTAATAAAATCAAGCCAAGTGATTGAGTGTGATCTTAATATTCCCACTTTACTCACAGGAAATTGAGAGATTTTGAGTTAATATTAAAACACTCTCCATGTCAGACCTTTATTTTGTCTTTTATCACTTTGGCATATTACTGTCCAAAATCTGACCCCAAAGTTCCCTTTCCTTTAAATTCTATTTTAGATATGAAGAAGTGAATCTACCACATGAAAATGCTGCATTTTGTTGCCAGACTTCTCTATGATAAAGTTCCTTTTTCGGATCCCAACTAACATACACTTTGCTTGACTGCCAGTTGCAATACTGAAGCTGGGCCCACATGGTTGTGTTGTTTCAAACTTTGGCTCACTTTTCTGCCTCCAGTCTTACGCTCTATAGTTAACATTCTCAACTGCATGGACAGATCAGCTATTCTGAAATTAAATGGTCAAACAATCACAACGCTTAGTAGACGATTCATTATTTTCATATTTTGGGGACTGGTATTTCTTACATTCACTTGGCAGATATGAAGGGTTGTGCTCCAAAACCAATTAGAGGAAGAGGGCTGCTGTTTGTCAGACAGAGCTGGGGTGGGAGTTTGTGTATAGGAAGAGAACAAAATAGCTGGATTTTCCTGCCAGCTTTGGTTCCCAAGTGTCTTGTTTAACGATGACCCCACACACACAATGTGTCAAGCAGTGTCAACTTTTTCCCAGTGTTGCTTCTCCCCAAACGTGTGGCCCTTGTCAGTTTTGCTGCAGTAGAGGGGAAATCTAACATGCCATGGAAGCCTTTTGCACTAATTTAACAATACCAAACCACATCACAACTCACCAGGTACCCAGAGGAGCCTAGTTTAGGGAACAATAACTCAAGTCGCCTGTTGTAACAGCTGCTTTATTGCATTCTGATTCAGGATAGCAGTGCATGATTAGATTAAACATAGGTGAATGATAGACTCCAGTTTTCAAATTGTCTTGTCTTGTATAAATTTTAGAGCGTGGCAAGACTCCTTCAGGCCCTTGTCATAGTTAATCAATGGCATAACCTGCAAATCAGAGAACAAAGATGGGCTTTGTAGCCTTGGATTGATCATACATGTTGTCTCTGGGCAAGCAGCGACAGATCTGCACTATGTCATATGGTCATTGTCCAGCAGAACCTTTTCTCCATCTGTCAATAGGTAGAGTCATTGTAGATGTCAATGAAATGGAAAATGACTTCATACATTGCATCTCAGAAGTTGTACTAAACTTTTCCAGGTTGGGAGTTGATTGAGAAATTTAAAACCTGGCAGATTTTGTTGATTCTGGGTTTTGGCCAAGTCAAAATTTGGAGGAGAGTTGTTCAGAGAGGTCGGGCAAGGCTGGTTTCTCATCTTCTCCCCTCCAACAGAGTAACAGAGTTGGAAGGGATCTTGTAGGTCATCTAGTCCAAACCAATATCATTTCAGAGAAATGGTTGTCCAATTTCTTCATAAGAACTGCTTCACATAGTCTGTGTGGCAGGCTGCCAGAAAATTTCCCTGCACTCTCATTTTCTTAATTCTCAAAATGATGTGCTTGAAATAAAGAATAATTGCTTAAGGCTAACAAGCAATAGAAAAACTCAGAGTTGCAGGGTGGAGGTGTAGTTGGATCTTCTCCTTTTAGAACTCAGGACACTGACAGGATATTCTCACCACCCTTGGATCTTCCTAGCTTCTTCCTTTCTCTTCCCCTCTCCCCTTATTGAGTTAATGCATTTAATATCCGTCAGTCAATAATCTACAACAGGGATGTCAAACTTGCGGCCCATAAGATGGATACATCATGCGCTGCCCATTTCCAATGCCTGGTTTAGCGAAGGGGAAAAAAAGTTGTGATGTGTCATGTGATGCCACCATGATGATGTGAGTTTGACGCCCCTGATCTAGNAAATGAAATGAAGAATCCCAGCAAAAATCAAGGTTTCAAATCAGAATGGGATTTATCATAGAGCCTTCAGCAGCATAGACCTCCAAAAGGGGAAAAATAATAATTCTTTCCCTGCTATGCTGTTGATGGTAGCTGCTTTCAGTGTGTTCCTTCTCTTGGAAAGAACTCTGCACATGGGTTCTTCTCTCTGTTTTACTGGTTGATAATCTGGATAGTCCTTGCTTCCTTGGGACTCTGCCTGGCGCCTGTGCTTTCTGCATCCAGAGTAAGTAAAAGTGAGAGAGAGCTCATAGAGTAGAATTTACGCATAAAATGCAATGGGCCAATCTGGAAAATTGCTAGTTCAAAATGTGTTAAAACGTTTCTGCCAGGTTTTTTTGGACAGAGGCATGCTGCCATCCCACATTTAAATGGTGCTGGTGTGGAAACATTTGTATTACAATTTCAAAGTTGTCTCCCAAATCCAAGGAACCAACAGCCTAACACGTTCTACCATTCCGAGATACTCTGTGTGTATGCATAATGCAATGTTTGCTGATAGTGTAATTTTGTGAGAGCCTAACAAGCAAATTCAGGTTGCTGTGTGTGACAGCCATTAAGCCAGCCTAATACATTTGCAGAAGTGTATAATTGTAAAAATGTGAATAGAGAGATGTTAACAACATTGGCATGGAGCCACAAGCAATGTAAGACATCAACAAACATGATTGTTTAATAAACTGACCTTCATTATCTTCTCCCACATGCTTGTTTGGAAATAAGCCCTGTTGATTCCAGAAGACTACCTTCCAAATGCATGTATTTTGAGTTGCAATCCTAAATAGTTAGAAGTTGTCAGAGTACAACTAGATAGAGTTAAGGATAATAGTGAAACACAAAATTGGAATAAAATGAAGTAGAAAACCCAAGTGCTTAGTTTCGTTGTGTGGTGTCCGACTGCTGGCCATGGTTCAAATTTATTGGCTGCTTTCCTTCCTGTTTTCTTCAAAAGACCTACCTTTCAAACCCTCTCTCTAGCTCTTGGGATGCATTTCCATTCCATTCCTTTATGCATAGTTTGGAAATCCAAGAATACTCTTAAGCAATTATTGGCAAGACCAGCATTCTAGATTGTTCTTCCTCTAGATGAATGTTAGAAACACTGGCAATTGTAGAAGCTAATGGATTCCTAGTTCTTGGGTTTTTTTCCACATGTGCCCATCCATCATTTTGGTCCAATGTAGTATTAAAAGAGAAATTACTTTCAGTGCCTTCTTAATTATGTAAGTACATGCATGGCATGTTTTTAGCTGTCTAATGTAGCCTTCGTACTTCGCTGCAATGAAGATGTTGAATTCATTAGCTTCAAGCAGGTTCTCCAATGTATGAGACAGTGAATCTGCATTGTACCATTGCTGGCTACAGGTGATGGTTTATAGAACAGACTCCTTTATATTGCACTCTGAAAAGGTAGTCCTTTAGACAAGCAGACCAATTGTTGATATAGGAATGTATCTTTTCAAACTATGCACTGTAGGCTGCCCAAATTGCTTTCAGGAGGGAGGGGAAGGAAGGAAGGTAATCATCCTATCTTAAAGCAAGGGAAGTCTTAATGTCATAAGAGATATTGCAATATAGCTGATTATTCATGAACACGAACCCTCATCTTGTCTAAGTCCTTGACTTATGCCATAGGTTTCAGAAGATCACCAGAAGTCTTAATAATTACCACCAAGGAAATGTTTGTCAGATAGAAAGGGTCATGTTACGTGAGACAAAAATGCACATATCTGTCTCTCNATGATCTGGGCATTTAGTGAAGTATAACTTGCAGGCTGACTCATAAACATAGAAATTCCTTCTCTTGGAGACTTGCCAATCCCTGTGCATTTCTTAGAGTCAGTATAAAGCTGTTCCGTAGGCAGCACTGGGAGGCTTTGTCTTGACTATACTTTTATGTCTTCTGTCTATTTTTAAACATAAAGTGTTTCCTGAGTATTTAAGAGTTTTCAGCAGGCAAATTAAGAATTACATGCATTCCAAAGCTCTTTCCTATTCCCAAACCTCCTCAGTTTAGGAAAGGATGCCTTGTCTAGGATCAGATCTTGATTTTGCTAGGTCCTTTTATGCTGTGTGAGCCCTGGAGTCCCTTCCCTTGGTTTGGGGTTGTGGTGACCCAGAGGAGCTTTCCCAGCTGGGTGCCGATTAATCCTTTTTATCACTTGCAGGTGTATGCCAAGCACTGGGCCCCAGCAAAATGTGGTGTAAAATTGCCCATAATTACCTTGTTAGTGGCAATGGTGGGCTTGTAACACACCGCTCATCTGTCACCGCACTGGCATATGTCAAGCCACACCTGTCCGTTTTATTGGGAATCATCCTAACAAATGAGCCATATCATGCTCTGCTGGGGCTTTCCTCCTTCCCCAGCTGGTGCTGGCAGAAACTATTGTATGCTGGGATATTCCAGAATTACTAGAGAAAGAAAAGACCCATTTTACATGAGTTAATTGGTGTCTTCTTTGTAAGGAAGGCTCTGAAATGATGACTTTTCTTTTAATAATTCATAGCATGGGAAAAAATAGTAGGCTTTCAGAGAACATCTAGGGTTGAACAAGAAGAATACTGAGAAGGATTCCCTGGGCCGTCATGAAGTCCAATGCTAATAGTATAAGCAAACCATATTCCAGTGGAATATGAGTTTATGGTTGCCATTTTCATATTCTGATTGGTTCAGAGGGATATATTGTGGTAAGTTAATATAGTAAGAAAATGGACTATGTAATAGTAGAATTCAGGAGGAAGAAAGTATTAATATTGCTGCTTTGGATGATAGAAACTTGTTTTGAACTATAGAAGGGCTGCCTGAATTTTAAATAATTATCACTTCAATTTTAGTTTTTCTACTGATAACCTCACTGTAAATGGCAAACTTTAGAAAGTTATAGTATCATACTTATTTGTATAACAGTGCTATGACAGATGTTTTGTTCATTGCAGTGGGTCTGATGGATTTCATAACAGTCTGCTTTGTGTCTTCTTAGTTGTTTCCTGAAACAGGCCCCCGACAAGGTGGAACTCGGTTAACCATCATTGGTGAGAACTTGGGCCTGAAGTTTGATGATGTACGCATGGGTGTACGGGTTGGCAAAGTGATATGCATCCCTATTGAAAGTGAATATATCAGTGCTGAACAGTGAGTATCCTTTAAATTACAGGTGACTTTGTAGGATATAAAAATGGATTCATTTATGAGACCCTATATAACTGTAAAAAGCAGAAGAGTCAAGATTTGTGTACTGCCAATAAGGAAAGATGGTTATGATTTTTCTTTTAGAGTGTTAGTCACCATCAGCACTTCTTGATTTAACTCATTTTAAAATGACTGATTCTTATTTTGGAAAGAGCCAATGTGGCGAAGTTGATAAGGCAGCTGAACTCGGATAAAGATTCGAATTCCTGCTTATCCATGAAGGTCACCAGTTCATGCTAGAAGCAATTATCTTTCAACCTAATCTTCCTCATAGGATTCCTGTGTTTATTAAATGAGATGGCAAGTGTATAAGCATTTCTCTGAGCAATTTCGAGGGGAAAAAATGAATGGCAGGATAGCTTAAAAATAATAATGCCAGATCCTCCTCTGGGTTTGGTTCCACAAAACAATGGCAAAATAATAAGGGGAATGCCAAATCTTCTGTGACATTCTGTCAGAAAGATTCTTCTAGTTTCACAAATCATTTCTGGAAAATATTGGATGGTAAAATATAATGATTCTGCGAGTTGTTAACAGAGTTTTGATTTTGATAACAAAATGTACCTGTGGGGTGGGAGGGTTTGGGAAGGGGGGGAGAGAATGTTTTTTCACCACATAGTTTGTGTTAATTTAAAATCCCGCTTTGAGTTAAATACGTGTTTACAGAGCCAGACTAAGGTTGGTCAATTCTGGCTAGCCACATACATTCTGTGTACTATGCTCTTCAAATTTACCCAGTTTAAAATTACATAGAAAAATACAGAGCAATTTTAAACACCAATAGGATGCACGGTAATAAAAAAAAAAAATCAGTGTAGGATCATTTAGTGGGTGTCTTTCTTTTTGCTTGTAGATAGTAAATCAAAATACAAAGCCAGAAATGTATAGGAATATTTTCCACTGCTTAACTTATGGATGTGCATTATATTACATTAACACATACTGTGATAGGATGGGGGTGGAATGAAAATAAATGGGTTTTTTTTCTTTTTAGTTGTGTTAAATTTTAATTGATTCCCTACTGAGTTAAATTATACTCCCCTTGTAATATTTTATGTATTCTGCAATTTTAATATGCCTATTGTTCAAACACCAATTTGATGTATGCTAAGACATAATTTGCTGAAATTGTTAAATGGCATTTAATTAAAATAACAACAGCCCATCAAAATAGAATGACAAGATTGAAAGAAAGAATCAAGAACACCAGAAATATTTGGCATAGGGATATGGCTAGTGATCTGCAGGGTAGCTACACTTCATATATGTAACAAGAGCACTGACATTTCTTGTGTTTATAACACATTCAATTGGTGTGCCTTCTGTAGGATCGTCTGTGAGATTGGAGAAGCCAGCCCCAGCAAAATTCAAGATGCCCCTGTAGAAGTGTGTGTCAGAGATTGTTCTCCCAGCTACAAGGCCATAGCTCCAAAAAGCTTCACATTTGTGGTAAGGTTAAAATATTAGACATTTGCTTTCGCCATCCCATCTCCTCCCGAATCCCATTTTTGCCCCACGGATTTACTTTACTAACTTGATTTTGTACACAAGCCCTTATCCTAACTATTTTCATGTCTATTATTTTTTGGTGGACAGCATATTAATTTAATTTGGACATTATATCCTAACCTTTGTAAAAATATGCACAGAAGGGTTTCCAAGAAATAAATTACTAGTCAATTTGTTCAGCCTTAGAAGGTTCAAGACAGTTTTGCTCAAACTGGGATTCTTGTGTGATTTTAACTAGAAAAGTTTCCCGTCTTATAAATACGACTGGAGCAGTCATTAACTAATTTAGATTCGACTAGATCGAGATTTAAACAGCAGTATCTCAATGGTGGGCTGGTTCTTTTCACTGATTTAGAGCTTGGCATCTGCTGATAGCAATGTTTCTAAAATTACTCAAAACTGTGAAGCAACTAATGAGACTTTGGCTGGTTAGAATCATTTGTCATTTACTAAGATTGTCCTATATAGCATTTATTGTTAAACAGGTGTTCTCTGGCTAGTAGAGGGGTACAAATAAGGGTGACCTCTCAGAATCGTTACTCTCTGAATGATGGCAGTTAGAGCTAATTTTTTTTTTTGAAAAGCATCAATTTGCCTAT